CCAAGGCTTAGGATTTTAGTGCTCACAGGGACAGCAGGCTAAGCCATGGGCTCACCAGAGAGTAACGGAACTATACAGAATTTCCATCCTTCCTGTTAACTAGGCTCAAAGCTTTGGAGACTTCTTTGACTCTATGACCACACAGCCAATCCAATCACCAACTGCAGTTTGCTCCATCTTCAAAATATATCCACAATCCAACTACTTCTCACCACATATACTGTAGTCGATATTTATTTAGTGTTAGCAACACTGTTACCACTTGCTTTGCTCTTTATTTCTCACTGAAACTCAGAATTTTCATGTGAGATCATTTTTCACATTCTACTACTGCCTTTAGAATTTCCTTTAATGCAGATGTGATAAAGTGAAGACTTGAATTCCCCTTCCATAATGTAGAGTTGTTGCTGGCAAAAGGCTGCAACAGTGATAGGTGTCACTTTTGGACTGAAGTGGCTATAAGCAACTTTGTGTCCTTCACTCCCTGTTTAACTAACTGCCATCTGAAATAGAAAAACTCAGAGGCCCAAGGAAATTGGCAGTCATAAAATGGAAAAGGCTTGGGTTCCTGGATTACCATATGGAAGTCTGCCCATGGAAAAACCTGCCAAAAAAACCAAACCTCTATTGAATTTAAAACACTGAAAACTTGTATGTTGTTACAGCTAGTGTTTGCCTAATACCGAAATTGGTAGTAGGATGAGATGTTATTACAAAATTCTAAAACATGTGGGTTAACCATCAGGTGATAGGCAGTGAAGAAACCGATATTAGAGTCTAGAAAGATAAAGACTTATGCTATGGAGAGTAAAATATTTTCCAAAACATCACCTGTGGTAACTTGGAGGGAAGACTAAGTACCTACCTGAGTCTTTCACTTTAGGAAAAAATGTTGGAAAACAATAGTAGTGTGAGTTCTTGTTACTGGTTGCATTTAGCAAGGCAACAATTGATTGGTTTGCAAAAGGAAAGGAAAAGAGAAGACGAAGAAATGTAGAACACTGAAAGATTGGAAAGTTGATAGTTCCCCGCCCCCCCAAACAAGAGGAAATAAGATTGAAAAGGTTTTTTAGAGACAAATGCCCATTAAGGTTCTGCCCTTTCTCAATAACAAAAAACCCCTCTAACCTATTAAAAAATGGGCCAACAACTTGAATAGACTATCTCTAAATAAGATATACTAATGGCCAATAAGCACATGAAAAAATGTTCAACATCATTAGTCATTACGGAAATGCAAATCAAAATGAGATACCACTTCATATCCAGTAGAATGGCTATAATTTAAAAAAATGGAAAAGAAGTGTTAGAAAGGATGTGGAAAAACCAGAATCCTCTTATATTACTGGTGGGAATGTAACATGGTTCAACCACTGTAGAAAATAGTTTGGAAGTTCCTCAAAACTATTAAACAAAGAATTACCCTATGATCCAGCAATTCTCTTCTTATGTATATACATGAAAACAAGTATTCACACAAAAACTTGTATGAGAACATTCATAGCAGCATTATTCACAGTAGTCAAAAGGGAGAACGACCCAAATGTCCATCAGCTGATGAGTGGATAAACAAATAGTGGTATATCCATACAATGGAATATTATTTAGCCATGAAAAGGAATGAAGTACTGATACATGGTACAATGTAAAATTAGCCAAACACAATCACAGATTGCTAAGTAAAATTAGCCAAACAATCACAGATTGTATAATTCCATTTATATGAAATATCAAGAATAGGCAAATTCATAGAGACAGAAAGTAGATTAGTGGTTGCCAGGGGCTGGAAGTAATTGCTTAATGGGTATGAGGTTTCTTTTTGAGGTGATGGAAATGTTTTCAAACTAGATAGAGGTTATGGCTATATAACATTGTGAATGTACTAAACACCACTAAATTGTATACTTTAAAATGTTCATTTGTTATGTGAATTTTACCTTAATTAAAAAAAAAGATTCTGCCTTGCAGCTTAAGGATATAAGCTTCCAAGCCTAATGGCTCAAGGTACTGCCTTTAAATTGAGAGGGAGGCATGAAGACAAGGAAGCAAAGAACTATATCTAGAGAACTTTTCATGTGGCTACAAGTACTTGGAAATGACTAGAAGCAAAGAGGTTGGAAATCAATTAAGTTTTGAACAAAATTATAAATAAACCAAAGTTTGGTCCTTGAAAAGACTGAAAAAAAAAAAGCTTGAGGACAGACTAAAATAATTATATGAGAACATAACCACACATAATACATAGTATATAGTTTTTATACATTGTTGAATTCAGTCTTTGCAGCAGCAATGATAAAACAATAACATTAATGCAACAACACAAAGAGACATTTAATATGCAATTCATCATATTAACAGGTTAAAGAAGAAAAGTCATCTCAATGTAGAAAAAAAGCATCTGATAAAATTCAATCCCCTTTCACGATAAAGTTTCTTAGCAAATGAGAAACAGAAAGGGACTTTTATATCATGTTAAAAGGTATCTTAAAATCTGAATGTAAATTTAATAATTGGGAAGCACTGGAAATATTCATTTTCAATCAAGAATAAAACAAGTATTTTAGATATCAATATTTCTATTCAAAAATTTGTTAGAGGTCCTAGATACGGTTGTAAGATAAGCAAAATTATATAAGAATCCAGTCATTATTTATATGATAGAATTTCTATGTAGAAAATACAAAGAAATTCATAGACAAACTATTATCAGAAAAGAGTGCAGCAAGATTTGTGATACTAAATTATTATGCAAAAATTGATTGTATTCCTGTTAACCAAAAATCTTTTCAAAAATATAGTTTAAAGATATCATTTACAATAGCAACAAAAATGGTAAGATGTCAAGGAATAAATCTCATCAAAAGTCTACAAGACCTGTATGGAAAAATTTATCAAACTCTATTGAAAGATTTTGAAAGAGACCTAAAAAAATGAAGAGACATAGCATGTTCAGAGATGGAAATAATATTTTAAAGATGTCAGTTCTCACCATATTAATATAATTACAGCTAATATCCCCCCAATTTTTTTGTGTATGGAACTTGAAATGTACATTCTAAAATTCATTGAAAGAGAAAAAAGCCTAGCCACCAATTTTCAAAAAATAAAAAGTAGACAAATTTGTCCTATAAGATATTAAGACTTCTTATAAGATGTTAAAACTTATAAACCACAGTAACTGAAACTAGCCCACGGATATAGAACTAGACCAGTAGAATAAAATATATAAAAACCAAAAGAATAAAAACCATTCACATATGAAAACATTACATATGACAAGGATGGCATTACAACCCAAATGGGAAAGGCTGAGCTAGTCAATGGTGTTTGGGCAACTGGTTATTCAAATAGAAAATAATAGAATTTGATTTCTACCTCATACTATATGCAAATATAAAATTCCATGTTTTAAAGACCCATGTTTAAGAAGCAGAATTTAAAACTTTTAGACAAGTGAGACAAGAGTATCTTTGTAACCCGGGGAAGGGAAGGAATTCTTAAATGAAATGCAAAAAGCATAAACCACGAAGGGCAAGACATACATTTGCCTATATGAAAGTTAAAGACTTCCCTCCTAAAAGAAAATATATATAAAATTAAGTCAAGCTACATACTGGGAGAACATATTTCTCCTTTATACAACTAAGCATTAGGAAGAAGAATTGTATACTCATTCTTTATTCTAATAGTATAAATTCATATTTTATATAGTACGAATTATTAAAAAAGATAAAAAAGCCCCATTAGCAAAATGGGCAAAGTATATCAACAGAAAATTCACAGAAGAAACTCTAATGATTAATATAAATAAATACTGCTCACTGTTATTCAAAATTAGGGAAATACAAATTAAGACAATAATTATTTTCCCCCCACTGAATTGTTAAAATTTATAATTTCATAATCCCAAGTATTGAAAAGAATGTGGAGCAATAGGAACTCATAACATACTACTGATGGAAGCATAACCTGGCATAACACTTTGGAGAGCAATTTAGAAATGTTTAAAGGGGCATACATTTTAAGATCCAACAATCCCATTTCTATGTATACAGTGAGGGTTCCAAAATGCATCGAGCACCCCAAGGGGTTACATAAGATGATCCCAAGGGGTTACAGAAGATGCATCGAGCACCCCAAGGGGTGACATTAGATAAGGAGAGCTGAAAAATAATATTAGAACCTCTATTTTAATCTAAAAAATAAGGAAATGAAAATGTATTAATGCTTAACATATGGATAGACAGTGACACCTCCTCTAGGTGTGTATATAAGATAGTAGATTATGAAAGTTAAGGTGTTTGGGGGTAGAGAGATGAAGAGTTGACCACTGCATACTCCTTTATTCATTTCCTCATAGTGTACTGCAATTCCTGCAGTTTACATGCATTTGGGTAAGTGAATTTATGAGTAATATTATTTAGTTTTAACTAAACTAAAAAGTAGACATGTGGCTTTGTAATCAGATAAAAATTAAAATTATACACATAAGGCAAACATAAAATGGTAAAGGGGATAGATCTCTGCTTCTAGGTTAAGTACTCTATCATCATATTTAGAGATAAAAAAATAGTGATTTGTACTCAGATTTGATTTTTTATCACATGACTATCATTAAAATACATTATGAATATTTTTCTTAATTGGAAAGTTTTAATTTTCTTAAAACAAATTATTTAATTTTATTTACTCTTTACTTTGTTCTTTTAATTTCTAGTTTTTTATGTTTAATATATCTTATAGAATATATATAATTTATAAATGTTTAAATGCATTCTTAAGATTTTTTGAATATGCATGATCAAAAAATTTTATAGACCACTGTCCTAGAAACATTTTTGTAAAAGTATACTGAGAGACATGTACAAAGATGTTCAATGCGGTACTGTTCATAATAAAGAAAAGCTGTAGTCTACATTAATGCTTATTAAAAGGAGAAAAAATAACTTTTTAAAATAGTAATGATATGCTGTCAGAAATTAAATTGATAAATCAGAGCGAAGTGTATCAAAATGAATACATTTCAAAAACAATGTTGAATTAAAAACTCAGGTCACAGAAGGATATGTACATTAATTATAATGTCATAAAGTTAAAAATGCAAACCAATAATAGATACATATTTAACTATACATATATAGCAGAGGAATAAAAAAATGCATACAAATGATTCATATCAAATTCACAATAGTGGTTTTGGTGAGGGAGTGGAATGGGCTTGGGAAAGGTGCACAGAGGACTTTAATTGTATTTATAATTTTACTTCTTTAAAAAACAAAGGCCAAGTCAGATGTGGCAAAATATTAAGACCAGATAAAGCAGGTTGATGATTACAATGCTATTAACTATTCTAAAAACTTTTTTACATGCTTGCAATAAATATTTCATAATAAAATAGTTTAATTTTCTTGGGATTCCTAACTATGGGCTCTGAGACACACAGTATTTAAATATCATACATGCTTTCTAATATAACAGAATGAGGTAATATTAATTGTGGAATTTTATGACTGCAATTTCAAAATGCTCTGTAAGACTGTAGATACTATCAGTTCTCCACTGTTTGGCTGTTATGCTTTATCCATCTATTATGACACTAATACATACTTTATATTGCAGTTAGGTTTATATAAATCTGTCTCCTGCAGTAGATTAAACTGTGTGTCTTATTTTATTCTTTTACTCCTGAAAATGACCAGCATAATATCTTGTACATAATAGGCTCTATGGAATGTTTATTAATGAATATTGAATGAATTTAAATGGCTTGAACAGGATTATCTGAACTCGTGCTGTAACTCATAAAGTACAACTGTAATCCTAGATAATGCCTGGCAGACAGTAGATCTTCAACAGATATTTGGTGAATGATAAACACAGCCTGGTGAGGAGTCTTGAGTTGGGTTTTGATGGGTGAGTGCAAGTTTTCCAGGGCAAGGAAAAAGAGAGGGAACAGTGTCTGTAAAGGTGTGAAATAATGTAACATGTATTTTGCAAACTACAAACAATTTCTTACTGAGATTTATAAACTGCATATCTGGGTCATATGACTGGCAATATAGTCAGAATAAAGCTCTTTATATTAAAGAGGTTGGACTCTACCCTGCGAGGACAAAGCTGTACCACCAGAATGTTTTAAGAAGGCTATAGAAAATGCTCATACTTCCATTTAAATAAATATTCTAGTGTCAGTATGGAGGATGACTGGAGTGGAGGAGAACCAGAAATAGGGAGAACAATTAAATTCAGGGATTACCATAGTCAGACAAGAGATAACAGATCTTGGAGTGAGAGAGTGAGTGGCACTGGGATGGGCAGAAAGTAGATTTAAAAGAGATTTAGCCATTCCATGGAATAATATTCAGCAACGAAAAGGAATAAAATATTAACACATGCAACAAAATGAGTTACTATCAAAAACATTACACTAAGTGAAAGAAGTCAAATATAGAAGACTATTATATAATTCTATTTATCTGAAGTTCTATAAAAGGCAACACTACAGTGAGAGAAAGCAAATCAATGGTTGGCTGGGGTTAGGGGTGGGGAGAGAGTCAACTGCAAAGAGCACGAGGAAGATTTTAGGATGAAAGAGCTATTCTATCATTTGAATGTGGTTACACAACTGAAGACAATTACCACAACTCATCAAACTCATACTTAAAGTGGGTGAATGTTATTTATTATATATAAATAATAACCTAATAGATTTTTGTTTTGTCTTTCAACTACAGTTGACATTCAATATTATATTAGTTTTAGTTGTACAGCTTAGTGGTTAGACATTTCTATACCTTACAAAGTTAATCACCCCAATGAGTCTAATACCCATCTGACATCATACATAGTTATTACAGTATTACTGACTAATTCCTTTTACAACCCTTTGTAACTGCCAATTTTTACTTCTTAATCCCTCAATAAATTGATTTTAAAAGTGAAAAAATGAGGCTAAGACCAAAAATGATTTAGGAGGTAGAATCAATAGAACTTGGTGAGTAAAGTGTGTATACTTTGCTTTACATTGTGGCTGTTTCTAGAAAAGATCTGTAAAAGTAAATTTTAAAATGCTCTAAGGGAACTAATCAATCCTTAGTGATTGCTTTAAAACTATTTTCTAATAGAGAATTTTTAACACACATAAAAGGTGACAGAACAGTAAAATGAGCCTTATATACTCAACATCCAGTTTTAACAATCATCAATCTATGGCCAATTTTGTTTTATTTATACCCCATTCTTCTCCCCTACTCTTGAACTATTCTGAAGCAAATACCTCAGATGTTACATAATTTTATTCATATTTTAGTGTGTATCTCTAACAAATAATGGCTACTTTAAAAACATAACTACAATACCATGACCACACCTAAAAAGTTAATATTTCTTAATGTCATCTACTATCCTGCCAGAGTTAAAATATTTAATTGTCTCATGAAGTTGTAAATTTGTTTGAATCAAAATCTATTAAGGACCACACATTTAACTGTTATACCTTCTAAGTCCATTTTTTTTGGTAAGTTCTCTTTCTCTTTTTTCTCTTGCAATTTATTTGTTGACTAATCTGTTTCTTAATGTAATAAATCCTTCTGTTATGCAAATAATCATCTTCTACTTAAATGTTTTTTTAAAAATTTGGATTGTTTTACAATTTAAAAAAATATTTTAGTTGTATTCCAATAATTTTTTGATAAAGCTATAGTGTGATGACATAGGATTATCTCATAGTACCCACGGTATGTTTTTGCTTTTGGTGATTTGTCTCAAGGGCATTAATCCTATGGTTTAGATTACTGTTTGGATACCAAGACAGGTGTGCATCACTCACAGTTGTTTGGAGATCGCCTGTTCTGTCGGTGAAGATATTCAATCGTTCTTCGCTTTCCAACATTTTATCAATATTTTGGGACATAACATTTTTTACATCAGTTACTTGACTCCTCAGTGTGGATATCGAGCTGTCATCTTGATTTTTATTGTATTTCATCTATGTGGAGTGAAATATAATACAAATTTTATTTTCTATAAATGAAATCTATTATATTGTACACATTAGAATAAAAGTGTCAAAGGCATATCTCACTTGTATTTTGGCATAAGATATCAACTTATGATATCTTATCATAAAGAGCCTCAATTTGTCCCACTTTAATCTTGCAAAAAGAAGGGGTTGGTGGGAGAGGGATATATCAATGTTCTCATCACTGTGGGAATGGCTTTTTTTTTTTTTTAAATATAGATTGTTTATTTATTTAGACTTTTTTCCCTTAAAGAGCAGTGTTAGGTTCACAGTAAAATTGAGTGCAAAGTACAGAGTTCCCACATGCCCTTTATCCCCTGCACATGCATGGTCTACTTCACTATCCATATCCTACTCTACAGTGGGACGTATGTTAAAATGGATGACACTACACTGATGCATCATCATCACCAGAAGTCCATAGCTTACATTAGTGTTCACTGTTGGTATTGTACATTTAATTGGTTTGGACAAATGTATAATGACATGTATTCACCATTACAGTATTAGGCAGAACAGTTCACTGCCCTTAAAATTACCTGTGCTCCACACTATTCATGCCTCCCTTCTCCCTAAGCCCTAGTAAAGAATGGTCTATTTACAGTCTCCATAGTTATACCTTTTCCAGAATGTCAAATATTTGGAATCATACAGTATGCAGCCTTTTGATTGGATTTTTTCACTTAGCAATATACACTGGAGGTTCCTCCATGTCTTTTCATTGCTTAATAGCTCATTTCTTTTTAGTGCTGAAATAGTGCATTGTTTGGATGCACCAGTTTACTTATCTACTCATGTATGAAAAGATACCTTGGCTGCTTCCACATTTTGGCAATTATGAATAAAGTTGCTATAACATCTGTATGCAGGTTTTTGTGTGGACAAATGTTTTCAACTCCTTCAGATAAGTACCAAGGAGCGTGATTGCTGGATTGTATGGTTAGAGTATGTTTAGTTTTGTAAGAAACTGTCAAACTGTCCTCCAAAGTGGCTGTTCCATTTTGCATTCCCACTGGCAGTGAGTAAGAGTTTCTATTGCTCCACATCCTTGTCAGCCTTTGGTGTCGTCAGTATTTTGAATTTTTGGCCATTCTAATAGATGTGCAGTGCTATCTCACTGGTGCTTTAATTTGCCATTCCTTAATGACATATTTGGTAATAAGGTCTTTGCAGATTTAATCAAGATGGTTAGTCTTTGATCTTTCTTTTTGTTCCTTGTCTTTTTCTCTCCTTTTTAAAAAGCTTAATCTTTTTTAGTCTAAGAGGATCATCTACGTTTTGTTAAGATAATATATTCATAGTCCATTCAATGGCATTTGGTACATACATATATTTTTAAATTTCTCAAAACTTTTTTTTGAGCTGTGTGCATTTTGTTAATTATAGTATAAGAAATTCAAAAACTTTTATAACATTTTCTACAGATTTAAAGCTTACCAGGTTAGCTTTTAAATGTTAAACAGAAATTTTTTTGATGTCAGATGTGTTAACTGTTTAAAATGTGCATATTTTCACATAGTAACTAGTTTTCAGGGAGATATGTTAATATATTTTGGTTGTCTTGAATTTGCAGGATTCTTCATAAGAAAATGTATAAATTTAATATAAAAGCACCTATCCTTAGTTATTTTGTCAGGCATTGTAGTGGACATACCCTATAGTAATCCCCAGTAAGTCACATTCTTGTAAATTCCCCTTCCCTTAAGTGTGATTTGCTTCTAACTAATAGAAGCAAAGGTGATGGAATGTTACTCCTGTGATTATGTCACATTATATAATATTTAGCAGATTAGAGTGAGAGAAATTCCTTTGCTGGCCTTTGAAGAAGCACGCAGCCATGTTGCAGATGCTCACCTTGGGTGGGAAGGAACTGCTATCAGTCTCAAGGACCTGTAGGTGTCCTCCAGCCAACAGCCAGCAAAAAGCTGCATCCCTGATGCAGCTATAAGAAAAAAAAATTTAATTTTAAGAGTTTATTTGAGTAAGAATTGATGCAGCACCAAACCAGAAGTGGTTAGAAGTGCTTCTAGGAAATGAATTCTGCAACAATCCAAATAAGCCTGGAAGCAGATTCTTCCCTAGAGCTTCCAGGTGAGAACATGGCCTGGCTGACACACTGACTGCAGTCTTGAGAGATCCTGAGTGGAGAACCCAGTTGAGCCATGCCTTGATTCCTAACCCACAAGAACTGTGCGATAATAAATATGTGCTGTTTTGTGGTAATTTGTCATACATAAATAAAAAACTAATACAGGTATACTTAAAATATTACAGAAAAGTTCAAATATATACAAAAGCAGAGTGAATAGTATAATGAACTCCTATGTACTAATTAGATAGTTTCAGAAATTATCAATGCCAATCATGTTTCATCTATGCTACTACCAACCACCCCTTTCTCAAATGTATTATTTTAAAGCAAATCCCAGATATTCTTTTAGTCTGTAAATGCTTCAGTTGGTATCTCTAGAAGATATGGCTTCATTTTTTCTTAAAAACAAAACTACAACATCATTACCACAACTAAAAAAATTCCTTAATATCATCAAATAACCAGTTTGCGTAGAAATTTATCAAAAACAAATCATAGTTTTAGTTGTTTTGTTGAATCAGGATACAAAGTCTACATACTGATGTCTTAAGTCTCTTTTAATCAATAGGTTCTCTTTAACTGCCCCACTTCCACAATTTATTTGTTGAAGAAATTGGGTCATTTGTCTAATAGAGTTTCTCATTTTCTAGATTTTGCTGATTGCATTGCTGTGCTATCATTTAACGTGGTCATTGATCCACTTCCTGTAAACTGGTACTTACATCTAAAGGTTCAGTCATAATCAGGTTTGATGTCTTGGGTAAGCATAGCTCAGATGTGTGCTGTATATTACTCGTTTAGTGACATCAGGAAACACGTTAACTGCTGGTCGATTGTCTCCCTTACTGTGACCTTAGGAATGGGTTTAGGTGTTTTGAGCCCATTTCATCCATTATGAAGTTTCACATCAGCTTTTCACTTCATTTTTTGTCAGTCATTAATGGTGATTGCCTACAACCATTATTTCATTAGGGATTGCAAAACAGTGATATTTATTACCTCTTCTTTATTTATTAGCTGGAATACTTCTATAAAAACAACAACAAAAAATCTTTTCTCAATCAACTATTTGGTTCCTTTGAGGGATAGTTCATATAGGAAATTAGAATAAATGCCTGACCCATTCATTTGTTGGTTTTCAGAGTGATGAGGTATCTTTCAAAGTTGACTAAGAAGACATTCTCCCCACCCCTTTTGCAGTATCTAGGGACTCTTGAATTTAATATATTTGATGTGTTACAATCCACTGCAGTTATTATACTTTTTGATATTCAAATTATTCCATCACTGGCCAGTGGCAGTCTCTTCAGGTTGGCTCCTAAAGTCTTTTGACATGCGTACCATAAACTTGGATAGCTTTCTTGTTTCTGGTATGACAAAATGCTTCTGACATATATTTTCTGTCTCATATAAGGAATTAGGTTCCTTTTAGTGTAAAATGGTATTTAGAAACTATAATCTATACACTGAAGGGTATGCTGTTACTGGATTGGCCATTGTTCTTGGGTTTTTTAGTGGATATGCTAGGAAATACTTTTTTTTTCTTTTGTTAACGAATTTTATTGTTTGGTATGTTAAAGAGTAAGGACAATGCTGTAATTTTTTAAGCTTACTTTAATGATTTATACATTTTTTTAAGTTTATTACTTACTTATTAAATTTTATTTTATTATTAGTTTCACGTATAAAGTACATTGGTTAGACATTTACATAGTTTATGAAATGACCCCCAATTACTCTTTCTCTTCTCTGGCTCTACACCTAGCCATTTTATTACTACTGACTGCATTCTCTATGCTGTGCTCCCCATCCCCGTAACCATCAATCTATCAACTACTAATTTCTACTTGTTTAACCCTTCACCCCTTTCTCCCAGCTCCCCAACCCTCCTCCCCTCTGGCAGATTGCCTTCTGTATTTGTGAATCTGTTTTAGTTTGTTCTTTTTGCTCCTTAGATTCCATATATAAGTGAAATCATATGGTATTTATCTTTCTGTCTGGCTTATTTCACTGAGCATAACCTTTAGGTTGGTCCGTAAGAACATGGAATGCTTCATGAATTTGTGTGTCATCTTTGCGCAGGGGCCATACTAATCTTCTCTGTGTCGTTCCAATTTTAGTATATGTGTCCTGAAGTCAGCACGGAAATATTTTTTTTTAAAGAGAAAATATACCATGTGGTACATTTTCAATTACATATTTTTTATATTAATTTTCAATTAAAATTTAGGTTATAAGGTTTTACTTAATTCTTTGACTTTATAACTATTATTGTATATGGTGTACGAAGGTGGTCCAGTTTTTTTTTTGCATGTATTTGTCCAATTTTTCTGCACCATTTATTGAAGAGACTGTCTTTACCCCATTGTATATTCTTGCCTCCTTTGTCATATATTAAGTGACGTATAGGTATGGATTTATTTCTGGGCTCTCTATTCTGTTCTATTGATCAATTCATAATATTTATTTGAGTCCTTTTTTTCATTAGGGTGTGATCTCACTAGGAATACCCAATCAAATTACTGTGTTTTAAAGTCACTTGAAATAAATTTTCATTGTCTTTTAAGCCATTATCAACTCAATACACAGTTTTTTTTTTTTTGCTTTGAGTTTTAGGGATTAATTTGTAAAATTAAAAAATTATTATGATAAAATATACATAACAAAATTTATAATTTTAATGATTTTTCTAACTGTATAGTTCAGTGGCAGTAAGTATATTCACACTGTTGTGCAACCATCACCGCCATCCATATCCAGAATTTTTTTCATGTCTCCAAACTGAAACTCTACCCATTAAATAACTCCTCCTCTTCTGTTCCCACTAGGCTCTGGCAACCACCATTCTATTTTCTATAGATCTGACTACTTTAGGTAGGTACCTTATATAAGTGGAATTGCACAATATTTGTCATTTTGTGACTGTCTTATTTCACTTAGCAGGGACTATGTTTTAAATATTTAATAGTATTTTTAAATTATGTAAAATATATACATGGTTCCCAAGTCAAATTTGTAAAACACATTTCATTCAGAGAGGTCTGTTTTCTATTCCTGTCCCCCAACCCCTACACAGGCAAAATTTTTGCTTTATCCTTCTCTTGCACTCCTCCCCCCACTTTTTTTCCTGTAAGCAAACAAATATATACATTTGCATTTATTCCCTATTTCTTAAATGCTTGCATATAAGAATGGTAAATAAATAATAGTATACCATACAAATTTTCACTAGCTTGCTTTATTCACTTATCAATGTATCATGGATATCATTACTTATCATCATATAGAGATAGAAGTTCTCAGTTCTTATTCATCTTTATAGCTCTTAACTCATAATTCCCCTCTGAATTGTAAGCTGTAATACTAACAACGTTTAGGAATATAGTTGGAGGTTACATACCATATACTTTCCTAATACTTGTTGAAAATCTGCAACTGCATTTGAAGGAAAAAACGGATCTTGTGACTTCAAAGGATTTCTCAGAAAAGTATCACTAACCTGGGAAAATGAATGAAAAGATTTAAGCTATGCAGATAATTTGAACTGGGGAATTACAGAGTGCATGTTTATTTGAAGCAGCCTGGCAGAAACCTGAAATAAAAGAAACCAGAACATTTCTAGGTTTGTAGTGGCAGGGTGTCCTTTCTATTTAAAGATGCAGTATTTATGAAAACTGCTTGCCCAGTCTTCTCCACTGCTGCAGTACAGATTACATCCTCATACCATGAGACTGCAGGTGCTACCTTAATTCTTTAGTATGTGTGAGGACTTGCAAGGAAGAGCAGATGTTCACCACTCGCAGACAAGGAAAGACAGGAGTCTGTGATAATTTTTCGAAATTAACGCTTATTTCCCCTCCTACCCCTATCCTCAAAATCCATTCAGTAATAACAAAACAATCCCAACTAAATGTCATGATATTATTTTTCAAACCCTAGGGTTGCACTGGACATTTCAAAGTCTGAAGAAAGAATTCTGACAATTGTTTGTATTTAAATGTTGTATTTCCCAGAAGTAGTGGGAAAAATTATGTAGTTAGCAATTCTGTCATCTGGTTTTGAAAAGGTGGTGAACTTGGGATGTTCTGTCATAATGGCAAAGAAAAAAAAAATTAGAGTATATTCAATTTAAATGGCTAACAGTGTTTAGCATCTAGACTCTAACTAGCATCTAGACTCTAACAATAGTCTAGGCCTACCTGTAGAGTGACAATATTAGGCCTAATAATCCTTGATTCTATATATGTTACAGTTTGAGTTGTGTTAATAAAAGAAGTTGGTTACACTAAACAAATGAAATATATGCATGATTCATTAATGTGACTGGAGAATAACTATTGGTAATTATTAAAGTAGTATAAGAAATTACTTACACTTTTAAGAAATGCAGATGGTGTTACAGTATCCAAGGCATTATCTGAGGCACATAGGTAAGTGATTCCATCGATAAAGAGACTATGATAGATAAAGCTTTGAAAAGAATACATTAATTTACATAATATCGAAGACATTAGGTACACATGCAGAGAATTTAATTTTGTTTTCACACTCTCATTAATAGCATAAAAGCTATATAACTTATAATCAGATTAGAATCTTTCATATATTAAAAAATTAAATTGTGTTCAATAAAAAACTATAAACTTTGAATATGTATTTAAAATAAACTGTATAAATAAAAACAAGTTACAAGAAAGAAAACTCTGAAATAGGTCAGACAGAGAAAGAGAAATACCATATGATTTCACTTATATGCAGAATATAAGGAGCAAAAGGAACAAACTCATCAAAAACAGACTCACAAATATAGAGGACAGTTTGGTGATGGGTAGAGGGAAGTGGGGTTTGGGATCTGGGAGAATGAGGTGAAGGGTTAAAGAAATACAAATTAGTAGGTGATAGATGGTCACAGGGATGGGGAGCACGGCATAGGGAATGCAGTTAGCATTAATATTTGGCTAGGTGGAAAACCAGAGGAGAAAAGGAGCAATTAGGGGGATTGTTTTATAAACTATGTAAATGTCTAACTAATGTTCTGTATACTTGAAATTAATAAAAAAAAAAAAAAGAGAAAACTCTAATAACCTAATAAATATGTATATTTGAAATGGCTTTGATAAAACTCACTTATATTCCAAAACTGAATCAAGATTCTGATCAAACAGAAAATGTTATGTTCATTAATTTTTACTATCCCTATATTTTAAAGTAGACATATTCAATTTTGGCGCTTCTTGGCTTTCTATCACACAATAGATTAGAATTTAAAAGCTGTAAACTGCCAATACCAAATATTCTGGAAAACAGGATGAGTTGGGGAGGAGGAATTAAACTCCCTTATAGCATGCTAAAGTATACCTTGTCCTGACCACTTCGACTTCTAGACCATTAATGCCTTCTCAGTGTCACATATTAGGAGGCTAGATGAGTCCTGGAAAATGCCTCCATCTTTACTGCCCAACAACCCAGAACACCTAGGGATATGGCAACAAAAATAGTTGCTTGGTGCTAGGCTTCAATCTAGTTATTCTGAACACTATATCTAAATGGTGAAAAGGCACTAGACCTAGTCAAATGCTAAACTGGATATGTATGAGAATGAGAAATCTCTGAAAAAGGTAGAAAAGATAATTCTAGAGGCAGAAAATTTAAAGTATGTGCCCTATCAATATAAATAGAGGGCAGTTTGGTGATGGGTATTCATATCATATCACAAATACAATATGCTATGAATATTCATAATGATGACATTGATTCATACACAAAATCCCCAAATGGAAAATATTTTTATTTCTAAGTTGGGAGGAGTGTTTGCTGAAAAAGAGTTGCTAATTATACTACCTCTCTGAAAGTTGTATATATGATTTGAATGTGAAAGGAGATATTTTAAATTTATGCTTACTACGTAATTAGTGAGTAACATCCAGAAACCATCTTTAAATGTTAAAAAACTTGAATACCTGATATCTAGCACATACTGTCAACTGACAAAAAGAAGGTGGAAAAAAGTATGTCTGATGTCCTACCGTTTATCTGTATCATTCTCATATACTACCATAAGGAAGTACAAATATATGTATGTGTCTCATATAGAAAAAAAGAAAAAGAAAATGATATACTAAAAACTTATTCAAAATGGTTACCTATATAAGGGGAGAAAGAGTATAGTGTGAACAGGAAAGAAATGAAAATTAGACTTCTCGAAGGAAATGTGTTTTGTAGATTTGACTTTGGAATCATGTAAATGTTTTGCATAATTATAAAATTTCATTAAATGAAATTTCAGGAGTACAATCCTTAAAAAAAAAATGAAAACAATGAACTTAACTTTATATGAATTAATTCTAGCAAGAGATGACGTGGTGTGGTTCCTATGGTATTGGTGGAGGTGATCACACTCTGGATATATTTGAAAGGTAAAGGTAAACAGAATTTGCTGATGGATGAGATTTGAATGTAAGAGACACAAGTCAAGGATCATAAAAATTTTAGGCTTGAGGAACTGGAAAGTTGATGTGTGGAAGGCTGCAGGAGGAGGCTTGGTTTTGGATACAAGTTTGAGATGCCTATCAGACAGCCAACAGAGATATTGAATGGGCAGCAGTGTATACGAGTTTGGAGTTCAGGGAAGAGGTCCTCGAAAGATTGAAATTAGGATGTACAATACAGGTAAGCATATTGTAGATGGGGAAAGTGTCTATTTTTGAAATCATT